ATAGATTAACTTTAATCTCGGTTTAATTTACTCTTTATCCTCTTCTAATTCTTAGAATTAGAAAAAGAGAAAGAGTAAGTTATAAACCAAGATTAAAGTTAATCTTGGCATCGATATAGGAACATTCCGGTTTCCACACATCAGTGTAAGATTAATTTTAACTTTACTGTTTATTTTTTCTTAATTCTTAGAATTACAAAAAGATAAGAAGTTTATTGAACCGATTAGAGTTAATCTTACATTAATGCTTGAACTGAATCGAGCTTTAATAGAAAGCACTTTATTTAGGTTTGCTTTTTTGTTGCACTGGATGCATTAGAATTTTTCTTTTTGCTTTTGCCGAATACCTTTAACGTATACATATTCAACACTTTAAATACAAATAAGGGTGCGTTTATTAAGATCGGTATTCATAATCGATTTTTTTAAGACCGTCTGAAATAATATCTTAATTATAATACTATATATAATACACAGTTTTGTAATAGATTTATAACAACTTAACTGCACTTAAATATAAGAATCGACTATGAATACCGGTTTTAATGCAGCTATAAAAAAATAATCTGTTTGTTTTTATTTTTGTTCTCGACGCTTTCGTCCGACTCGTGAACGTCTAACGGAAAACGACGGGTGATAAGAACTGCTTGCGGTTATCGTTATCCAACCGCATTATCGCAACGCGATATCTTACACCGGAATGTATTTTCAAGGTGGTTAGTCACCGCGCGGCATTGAACGATTACAAGAAAAAAAAATAAGCAAAATGGAAAAAAATACGATAGAAGATCGTAGCACGATATCTTGTGCCGGAAATGTACTTCCAAGGTGGTTAATCACCGGCGTTGAACGATCGAAAGAAAAGAAGCAGAATGAAAAAAAAAGAAATACGATAGAACGAAGAGCGAAATAACGAGATTCGTATTCCCGCCATACATCACGGGAATACATCGCGCGAATGTGCGATGTGCGATTCATTGAAGAGGAGCAGCGCTGTGAAAAAACAGACGAGAGCTCCCGCAAGGCATTCGGGAATACCTTATTTGGAAACGCGCACCCCGCCGAATCAATCACCCCCGGCGAGTTTAGCAATGCTGTGTTCGCACCGGTCTTTCTTTCGCTCTTCTTTTGTTTTCCTTTTTCTCTCTCTCTCTCTTACATAGACTCGTCCATCTCGTTTGCAATTTTATTTCATTCTTTGGAGGTTTTAATTGAAAATGTTTTCTCGTTAATTAGAGGAATTATCGATATATCACGAGAGAGGATCGATACCTCTGGCGAATTTTGCGCCGCGCACCACCACTATATTACACGCGCGTACGAGCAGAACTTGCGAACTGATTCTCCCTCTCCCGCTGTGACAGTCGAAGATGCACGCTTTTGGAAGTGAACTCTTCTCCCCGCCGCTAACCTCCACGAGCGCTGACGACGACACGAACGCCGATTCTCGACCTCGCAGTTTGTGAGAATACTATTCAAAGCAGGGTTGCCAGTTTCTGAAACACAAACTCGCCAACTTTTCACGCCCAAAGCACCACAGTGCGCCAACCGTTGCGAACGAACAATAAAAAAAAAAGAAATTTTTATCTTACTTTACCATTTTCTACACATTTTTTGTTATGCATTCATAGCGTACGGATCATCCCTTTATATTTGATTTCTCAAATGATGGTCCCACATGCATATAAAGAAACGTATAAGAAAAACTCAAACGTCAATTTTGATCACGATATCTATATTGACGCTGAAAATAAGTAATCAGCATGAAAAGGCACCTTAAGCAAATCAATCAATCAGGATGCGATTATATATAGCGTGATACGCGATAAAATAACTAATGTCTAATTCACACTGGATGCAGCAAGCGTCAAGCAGCGGAGTAGCAACCAACCAGCGAGGCGATATTGTTTACGCCACTGTAAATATCGCCTCACTGATTGGCTGCTGCTCAGCTGCTTGACGCTTGCTGCGTCCAGTGTGAATTAGATATAAGAACCACGCGCGCAAGCTACATTTGTATCTTCCAAACATAGCGTAGCTTATGTTTACATAAAAAAACTGAAAGTTAAATGGCTGCATGTCGCGAATTTCGGATTGACTTTTAACGTGGATAATGTAGAGATTGAGCTTAAGAATTAATTATACACATGATATAGAGATGGCGCATGGATATAATCATCGACTCGTCGTCGATATAATATTAGAGAGAAATGTGAGCGGACATTACTTTATATAATAAAAAAATCATCAATTTAATGATATATTATCCAATTATTTATGTTAATCCAATTATCCTAATTTATATCAATTGTCGATAATATCAGCGTTCTTCAATTATCTTTGGGTTTTTTTTGTATGGATGAAAATTTGCCCAGGGTTGACGGTCTTTAATCTTATCGGTGGTATAACCTACGTAATAGCATGAAAGAAAACCACGAAAACATGGACATTACCCTACTAGATTTGGTACACAAAAAAAGGCCGGGATGTTCATTTTCAGATTTTCTCTCTCTAACTTAAGTTTCTAATAATATTATATGTATAAAATTAAAATGCCTAGAATACTACTGTACAACTCGATGTAAAAGGGATCTTTCTTGATTGTTTTGGAACACACACGACATCTAGTAACGAAATTTGTTTCTCAAATGTCAGTAGGTATACGCTAATGCGTTCCAAAATGCATGAAAAAAGAGACGCTTCGATAATTTTGTCCAAGTGAAGTTTTCGTTTCTAGATATATAATTACATCGATGATTGAATAATTGACAAGTCAAGTGAAGGCTGAAGACAAGTGTTCATACATAGCTGGTGAGACGTTGTGCAATTCGTATTCTAACCTCTTTGAAAAGTCGTTTCGTCGTATGCGATACTTTTATTACTTCCGTAAATCGTGTCTAAGATCGAGATATGACTAACATACACACAGTAAACAGTATGATCAGCAACAGAAATCGCGATTGTCTCGAATGCAGACTGCTGAGCGGTAGCGGCCTTGTCGCTGCCGGTTTATACGTCTGTCACCACTCCAAACAGTACAAAAAGCAAATAGGAAAAGCAGCAATGTGCTCGGTTGCCTCTGGTACGTCGATTCGAGTAGCATAATATTGTTTTGTGACTTTATTCTGCTTTATTAGAAGCAGAACACACTTTGTACTCAAATAATAATAAATAAATTTTACTAATAAAAATATTTATTTTACTCTCTCTAATAAAAAATATTCATGAATCTTTACTTAATGTTTATATACAATAATTTTGTTTCCAGTGTTAGTACTCCTTGGTACAGCCAGGATTTTCGACTTACCACCCTTCCAAGATAAATTTAAACTCTGCTGAGAAGTAACTTATTTAAGCAAACATAAAGCCACGGTATTTTGTAGCAATTGCACATAAAAATGTGAGTGTGATGTGAAAATAATATATATATTTTATCATGTTCTTTCCTCACTTATGGTCTTTATCTAGAGCATAAGATTTGTCTATGAAGTCTATTGAATCTTTCACAAATATGATGATATTGAGAATATTTACCTTTAACTAAACACTAATATCTAAAACTAATTTTGAATATTAAATGTTTCCTGAAAAGTTATTGTATTATTAAGATTTTTATATTAAAAATATATTTTTGTTTTATATAATTATTTTCGTATCTCTCCTATAAACTTTAAATTATAAACGCAAAAGAGAAAGAGATTAAAGCAAAAAATTTTCTACCTTTATGTAATACTTTTGCCATTCAAGTGTTATATGATAGCCTCTTATTGGGTGTAAATTGTCAATACTTACATTATTTTAAAATATAAAATACAAAATACTTTATTCCAAGCTTCAAAATGATAAAAAGACAACAGACATATCTTGTTTTACGTATACAAAATATTATGGACCAGTTGCTTTTTTTTCAAATATAGAATTTTTTATTTCCTATCTTTAAATCTTTTGATTTTTTCACATTTTGAGATGTGAAGCGTATTATCTGCTTCTATTCCGCGAAACGCTATTGAGGCTGATATGCGGTGTGAAACATCGATGCGCGCGCGCGCACACGCGTATTGCACGTGTTGCAAAATACAAAGGCGCGCGTGCAACGCGGAGAGCGAGCCGTAAACGCTTTCGTGGTGCGCGCCCGCTCGTTAATATTCGCACCGCGTTACTTCCTGTTACGTACTCGACGATACACTTACAGGACACGCTGGCCATTGCGTAGCGATGTAAACTTGTGTACCCACTGTGCGAGTCTCAACGCGGATCGATCGCCTATGCGACCCGAAACGTATTTCGTAGCAAAATTGCGAATATTAAAGTATTTATATTCGATGATATTTGGAAGCTGAAATTATCCGAAGATCATATTTCAGTTCAATTTGAGCAAATCATTCGTAGATATTTTTAAAAAATTCAGATAAATTTTTTAACAACATATAGCGATTGTTGGAATTCCGATATTTTCGAAAAGTCATGTGAATACTAAAAAGTCAAGGGAAAATTATTTATTGAAATTCATTTTGTAAGATCTTTAAAAAATGAAACAAAATATTTTATATCGTTATTGTAGTTGCTACCAATAATAAAATGACTATTTTTTTGTATTATGATTGATTTGAAATCGCAATTGTTTTCAAAAGATCTAGATGTTACAATTTATAGTTTATTTTTTATTTCTGATATTCTCGAAAAGTGATTACACACATTAAAGGGAAAATTATTTCTTGAAATTTATTTTATCCGAAGTAAGATCTTTAAAAAATGAAGCAGAATATTTTATATCGTCATTATAATTGCTATAAATAATAAGGAAATTATAGATTTTATCCTATTTTTTAAATATTATATTACATTACAATATGATCGATTTAATGTCAACAACAGAAAACAGTATGACAGTTATAGAGAATATTTTAAAAAGGCATATGGCCATTGCCTTTTATGCATTTGCACAATCTGTGACAGATCGATCGGCAATGAATAACAAATGGAATAAGCTTTTATCCTCCCGCGCAGGATACTTGTTCATCAGCTGCCGAAACGGAAGGTGCGACACGGCTTTTGTAAGTCTTAGACGAGGTCGTGTCTAAGGTCGTTCTTCGGGTTCTAGCGCCACACCCTGGCGTTCCCGGCGAAGAAGATGGCACACGAAGAAGAGGGACGTGTGCCCCGCGCACGGCCTCTTGCCGCATCGGCAGTCTTGACACGCAGGAGATCGCTCTTGTAATACTTGGAACACGGTGCGATCCATCCGGTACACGTTCGGCGTGCCTGTTACGTGTGCTGCCTGTGCCCCGTTTGCGATGGACAGACAATCAGGCCCGCGTCCCGCGACCCCCGCCTGATCCATCTCCTGCATCTTTAATGGAAAAAGAACAGAATTATTAGAATTAAAAGTCAAAGATCCTCCTTTTAAAAGGCAAGAAAAAAAATCGAACGAAAGCTTGGAAGATTTTTTTGTTTTTCTTTCGGTCCAAACTTTTAATTTAAATCATCTGCGTCTGAAATTAGAAAATAGGCGAAAAAGAGTTGCGTTGCTAAGTTTCGGAAGGAGAAGAGAATACTTCAAGAATTTGACACATCACAGTGGAATAGAACACTGCATTTCATCGCATTGTCAAATCTTGCCTGGACCGCGAGAAGTCGTGGACACTCCCTCGCCTATTTTTCTTTCCGGAAAAATGGACACAACCACAAACAAGAACGTAAAATATAGTATATATTCTTCGGAAACGCCGTCTATGCGGTTTTGCAGCGTGTTTCGTTTTTTCTTCTTTCGCGAACGCTACGAGTCGCGCGCGACCACAGAAACGAGCACGTTGCATATCCGTACGCGCATCTCGGCGATTCGACGCGGTTCACCAGGCTGTGGAAACCGAGAATTTTGCTGTTAACCCCGCCTTATGTAATACGTTCATAGCTTGGAGAAAAACCGAGCGACGTCCATCATCGCGCGCTTCGAATGACGAGCGAGAAAGGAGAAAAAAAAAAATAATAACGGAGAAAGGAAGGGAAAACGGTGAGAAGATCGGTGTCGTGGGGAAGGATCAAGGTCCTTCATTCCGTCTCCGTTCGATAAATCGAACATATTCCAGCCACTCGATCGTTCGGAAGATGAGAGAAAGCGAGAACCCGGAGCGCGTGGTATGCCCCTCGCACTATTGCGTCAACGCGTAATTGCAAGACCGTTCCTTCGTTCGTTTCAAAGGCCCCGGGGAGGCTTATGCATGTAACGCAGCCTCTCCTGGATTTCATCAGTTTCTTGTCCGCTCAATAATGTTTCCCGACCATACTAATAAAATTAATTAATTTAAATTGTCATACCCTAACGTAAATAAATAATTATTACATTTCACTCTGATACAACTTCATTGTCTTTTTCTTATTATTCATTTTATATTACAAATATTTTTACACTTTACTATAATTATTAAACAGGAGTGAAAATTTAATTTTTGTTTTCAGCGTCAATCAGCGTCACTATCGTTTCTTGAATTTCCAATCTCAAGTAAAATGTTCGCGACGAGATAGCGTTGTTTATTTCTAATAATAATTTGGGTGATTAGAAATTTAAGTTCGACCTAGCCAGGTATATTTTTGTCATATGTCTCTATGATGAGCCAGCGAGTAAGTTCGCTGAAATTAGAGCAATGATTTGATTCCTTCGTATGTAATGTGAAATTTATTATCAAATTACGTCATACCAAAAGCGAGACTCAAGAATAACCGTCTGCGCATATCGATCGAATTATTTCGAGATATAATATTTGCGTCCCGGGCAACTGGGTTCTACGGATTCATCAAAATTGCCACTGTTTTCGTTTAAGGCTTCATATTTTATCTACAATGAAAAATTCGATGTGTCAAGATTGTTTTTGACGCTTTTTTTGTTATCTTTAATTGCGTTTTCGATTTCAAGTTTTTTCAAGATGTATCGTGAGATAAAATGAGCTTGCAGCATAAGGAATAATTTTCATCGATAATAAAATGTACACACACAAGTACGAAATGTTGGCGAAAGATCAAATCATGCAGTTCACCTCAACTTCTGCTTGAATTTAATGGGACGGTTCATGTGCTCGTTTAGGATTATATTCGCTCGTGAATCCGATTAGTGCAAATATCAACTCGACGGTAATTCGCTTCCTCCGTCTTTAGAAGACTCGTATCTAACCGCTTTGATTATGTCAAGAGAGCATACCCTGCGGAAAATGAGCGAATTCAAAGTTTCCGTAAATTCATAAGTCTTCAAGTCTTCAAAAATTACGAACTGAGATTACACAAAAAAATTAAGTTTTTTTAATTTAAAATTACCCAAGCAGAACAAGTCATGATAACGTCAAAATGATGTTATTTTGACATCATTTCGGCATTATAATGACTTACTGTTCTGCTAACATCTTACATAAAAAGAGAAAAGTTCTTTTAATCGAATATTTTTTCTTATAAGACAAAATTCTTTCTCAACTTGTTTCGATATTCATTTTTCTTGAGGTATGTATTATCAATGCACTCACAAAATTTATTATAAACGTATTGTCCGCGCTCACACATTTTTAATTTTCATGTGCGCGATGGAAATATTACTTAAACTTTGAACGCGATTCTCCGGCGTGAAATATCTTACTGACTAAAAAAGTTTCGCTACTGATCTCGATGTTTACACGATTAAAGGTATATACGTACACTCTTAAAAACAATATAAAAAATACAACATTTCAAATATATGTTCTATTATTACTGAATATCTGTGTAAAACAAGCACAATTCTTTAATTAGTAAAAAGATATATAATTTTTTTGTTTATCTTGATTCTTAAAATCACATTTTGTAATATTTATTTGCAAATTTAATGAGGAAGAAACATTAAGAATCAAATCAAATTTTACGTATACTGATGAAATAATAATAAATATTCGTGCAATATTTTTTTTTATTCACTCGTTTAAAAATTATTGACCTAAATGCAGAAAAATATAGTTATTAATTATTGCATAAAATCATTATAAGCTAAATTATTTATTTGTTTTACTTTTTGCATTTGATTCACGAGTTGTAATAGCATTAAAATTTCTTAAATAAAATTAACTGATTTTGGCTAATTGTGTTTGACTTGATTTTCAGCTGATATACTTATAGCCAAAACATCCTTAATGACGTGTCTACAATAACATTATCTCGCGTCACCATCTCGGTTCCCTTTTAACCACAAATTATGATAAATTCGACAGTTCGGGAGCCGGTATTAACATGCTGTAAATCAAGAAAGTCACCTGCGTGCCGAGCCCTATCTCTATCGCGCGATCTCCGCCTACCTTCGACAACTTTCCTGCTTAGGAGGCTCGCCGCAGTCGTCCCGTGTCAGAGATTCGCACAGAAATCCGCAAATCGAGAAAGGATCGTTGCACAAGGAGGCTGCAACCGCATCTCTTCTCCATTCTCGACCTTTAGGGCCGGCACAAGACACAAATCACATTGCGCCGCGCGCTCACTCGGCTCGGCTCGTCTCGACTCGCGACGGGGAATTTATTGCGAAATAAACTAGATTCTTTTCTTTTCTTTTTTTCCTTCTTAAGGTCGCGACACTCTCGCGACGTGTTCGCTGACGCAAACCCTGCGACGCATCGTATTATTACGCGTGACCAATGAGTAAATGCCTCTTCAGATCGAAGGGACAAAGAAAATGAAGATGAAGGAGACAAAGACGTACCGCTCTTTCATACCGCACAATTTTATTCTTAATTTAATTTATTATACGCGAAAGAAATTATGTATCTCTATTTTTTAAACACGATATTCTTTCATAATTCTTTAGTTCATCTAGGAAGATAATTCATGGATTGAGTAATAATTAT